ATTTATCCATTTGTGAGATGCTTCGTAGATTCATCACGTTCTTTATTGTTGTGTAGCACTCCACTGTGTGTATGTACCATAGTTTATCTATTCGTCTGTTGATGGGCATCTAGGTTGCTCCCATCTTTTTGCTATTGTGAACAATGCTGCAGTGAACATGGGTATGCATATATCTATTCATGTGACGGCTCTTATTTCTCTAGGATATATTCCTAGGAGTGGGACTACTGGATCATATGGTATTTCTATTTCTAGATTTCTAAGGAAGTGTCATATCATTTTCCAAAATGGGTGTATCATTTTGCATTCCCACCAGCAGTCCATAAGATTTCCGGTCTCCCTGCAGCCTCTCCAACATTTGTTATTTTCTGTTTTTTTTGATTCATGCCAGTAATGCCAGGGTGAGATGGTATCTAATTGTGGTTTTGATTTGCATTTCTCTAATGGCTAGTGATCATGAGCATTTCCTCATGTGTCTGCTAGCCACTTAAATGTCTTCTCTGGTGAAGTGTCTGTTCATTTCCTTTGCCCATTTTTTAATTGGATTGTCTTTTTATTGTAGAGGTGTTGTATTTTCCTGTAGATTTTAGAGATTACACGTTTGTCGGATTTGTCATAGCCAAAAATGTTTTCTCAAGTCTGTAGGTTCTCTTTTTACTCTTTTGGTGAAGTCTTTTGACGAGCGTCAAGTGTTTAATTTTCAAAAGATTCCACTTATCTAGCTTATCTTCTGGAGTTTGTGTGCTGTTAGTTATGGTTTGTATCCTGTTAATGCTGTGTATTAGGGCCTCTAATTGATCCTATTTTCTCTTCTATGAATTTTATAGTTCTTGGTTTTATATTTAGGTCTTTGATCCATTTTGAATTAGTTTTTTATGTATGGTGTGAGGTATGGGTCCTGTTTCATTTTTTTGCAGATGGACATTCAGTTTTGCCAACATCACATGTTACAAAGACTGTCATTTCCCCATTTGATAGAGTTTGGGCCCTTGTCAAAGATCAGGAGACCACAGGTGGGTGGATTTACATCTGGGTTCTCAATTCTGTTCGATTGGTCAATGTATCTGTCGTTGTACCAGTACCTGGCTGTTGTGACGACTGTAGCTGTATAGCAGGTTCTGAGGTCAGGTAGTGTGAGTCTTCCTACTTTATTCTTCTTCTTCAACAGTGCTTTACTTATCCAGGGCCTCTTCCCTTTCCATATAAAGTTAATGATTAGTTTTGCAAATACTTTTTTCAACAACATAAATGGCGACTATACACATGGACCTCGTCAGAGGGAATACACAGGAATCAAATCTGTGGAAAGAGACGATGGAAAAGCTCAATATCTTCAGTCAGAACAAGGCCAGGGGCCGACTGTGGAAAGACCATCAATTGCTCATATGCAAGTTCAAGTTCAAGCTGAAGAAAATTAGAACAAGTCCACAAGAGCCAAAGTTTGACCTTGAGTATATCCCACTTGAATTTAGAGACCATCTCAAGCATAAATTTGATGCACTGAACACTAATGACCGAAGACCAGACGAGTTGTGGAATGCTATCAAGGACATCATGCACCAAGAAAGCAAAAGATCATTAAAAAGACAGGAAAAAAAGAAAAGACCAAAATGGATGTCAGAAGAGACTCTGAAACTTGCTCTTGAACGTTGAGTAGCTAAAGCCAACAGAAGGAATGATGAAGTAAAAGTGCTGAACAGAAGATTTCAAAGGGCAGCTTGAGAAGACAAAGTAAAGTATTATAATGACATGTGCAAAGACCGGGAGTTAGAAAACCAAAAGGGACAAACATGCTCGGCATTTCTCAAGCTGAAAGAACTGAAGAAAAAAATTCAAGCCTTGAGCTGCAATACTGAAGGATTCTATGGGCAAAATACTGAACGACGCAGGAAGCATCAAAAGAAGATGGAAGGAATACAGTCACTGTACAAAAAAGAATTGGTTGATATTCAATCATTTCAGGAGGTAGCATATGATCAGGAACCGATGGTACTGAAGGAAGAAGTCCAAGCTGCACTGAAGACACTGGTGAAAAACAAGGCTCCAGGAATTGACGGAATACCAACTGAGATGTTTCAACAAATGGATGCAGTTCTGGACGTGCTCACTCATTTATGCCAAGCAATTTGGAAGACAGGTACCTGGCCAACTGACTGGAAGAGATCCATATTTATACCCGTTCCAAAGAAAACTGATCCAGCCGAATGTGGAAATTATTTAATGTCATCATTAATATCACACACAAGTAAAATTTTGCTGAAAGTGGTTGCAGCAGCACATCAACAGGGAACTGCCAGAAACTCAAGCCAGATTCAGAAGAGGATATGGAACAAGGGATGGTTACTGATGTCAGATGGATCCTGGCTGAAAGCAGAGACTACCATAAAGATGTTTCCCTGTGTTTTATTGACTATGCAAAGGCATTCGACTGTGTGGATCATAACAAATTAGGGATAACATTGCAAAGAATGGGAATTCCAGAACACTTAATTGTGTTAGGAGGAAACTTTACATCGATCAAGAGGCAGTCATTTGAACAGAACAAGGGGATACTGCGTGGTTTAAAGTCAGGAAAGGTGTGTGTCAGGGTTGTAAACTTTCAGTGTATTTATTCAATCTGTAAGCTGAGCAAACAACCTGAGAAGCTGGACTATATGAAAAACGGGGCATCAGGATTGGAGGAAGACTCATTAACCACACCTGTGTTATGCAGATGACCCAACCTTGCTTGCTGAAAGAAAAGGACTTGAAGCACTTACTAAGGGAAAAGACTACAGCCTTCAGTATGGATTACACCTCAACATAAAGAAAAAAAAAATCCTCACAACTGGACCAATAAGCAACACCATGATAGTCAGAAAAAAGACTAAAGTTGTTATTTAGTTGGATCCACAATCAACACCCATGGAAGCTGTAGTCAAGAAATCAAATGACGCATTGTTTTGGGGATCTGCTGCAAATGACCTCTTTACAGCATTAAAAAGCAAAGATGTCACTTTAAGGACTAAGGTGAGCCTGACCCAAGCGATGGTGTTTTCAATTGCCTCATATGCATGTGAAAGCTGGACAATGAATAAGGAGGACTGAAGAATTGACACCTTTGAGTTTTGGTGTTGAAGAATATTGAATATACCATGCATGGACTGCCAAATGAACAAATCTGTCTTGGAAGAAGTACAGCCGGAATGTTCCTTAGAAGCAAGAATGGCGAGACTTCGTCTTCCATTCTTTGGACATGTTATCAGGAGGGACCAGTTCCTGGAGGACAGCATGCTTGGTGGAGTGTCAGTGAAAAAGAGAAAGACCCTCAACACGATGGACTGTCACAGTGGCTGCAACAATGGGCTCAAGCGTAACAACCATCAAGAGGATGGCACCAGACCAGGCAGTGTTTCTTTCTGTTGTACATAGGGTCATGAGTCAGAACCACCTCGATGGCACCTAACATCAACAGTAAGTGACTCAGCCACCTGTTTGGGATCAGCACCCCAGAGGGGTTGAAGGTAGGATGCATTCTCCTCCCCCTCTGAAGTCTGAGGTCCAGGAGATTCAGCTTCTATTGGGTAGTGGGCTTCTCAAAGCAGGTCCTTAATTAGGAAAGGTCTCTCTCTACATGACATTTTACTAGTGAATCCGCTACCAAGAGAATAAAATTTGTATTATTACATTTACAAGTAATTTATAGTTCTTTTTAAATAAGTTATTGTGGTCATTTGAAAGGAATAAAGCAAATTTCTGCTAGATTTTAGTATGGAACAATATGTCCCTGTGCTGAAACTCTCATTTCCATAAACTCTTGCTTTGATCAATAACCCATTAGTCAGCCACTAGGAGAAATGACGTCTTGATACATGGTACCACATGGATGGAGCTGGAAGACATTATGCTAAGTGAAATAAGTCAATCACAAATGGACAAATACTGTATGACCTCACTTATATAAAAAGAAAAGGCAAATGTATAGAGACCAAAGTTTATTAGTGGTTACCAGGGCCAGAAAGGGGGAAGAGGGGAATTATTGCTTATAGAGTACTCAGTTTGGGTTTACAGTGTATGGAAAAACTGCATTGATTTAGGGTTTCACAGTTGATTGTTTTAAGTGCCATCAGTAAGTTGTACACCTGTAAAAAGTTGAATTGGCAAAAGTTGTGTGATAGATTTACAATAACAACAAGAGTAGCTGCTGAGGCTGCTGATGGACAACCAAATACCTCATGTAGTTTGGTTCTTCGGTTTGGAGGTTTAGGTTATGGTTTCATGAGGCATTCCAGTTAATTGGCCTAATAACGTGTTTAGTGCTTTTGTTGCACCTCCTAGTTCACTGTGTAGTGCCTGGGGTCTTAAAAGCTTGCAAGTGTCCATCCAAGGCACAACAATTGGTCTCTATTCACCTGGATCAACAAAGCAAGGAAAGTCAGGAATATGAGGAGGAAATGGAATGTGTGGCTAATTGCCTCAGCAAACGACTGCCTCCTTTGCCGTGAGACCAGAAGAACTGGACGGTGCCCAGCTACCATTACTGAACATTTTGATGAAAGACTGTAGAAGAATCCTGATCAAAGGAAGGAAAATGCAGAACAGAATTTCAAATTCTCATCGATTCCGGTCTTCCTGAGCCATGAAGGTTGGATGAACCCCTGAAACTATGCCCCTGAAGTAATCTTCAAACCTTAAACCAAAAATGTCCCCTGAAGTCTTCTTAAAATCAAACAACAGTTTAGCTTAAATAGTAAAAAATGTCTGCCTTGAGCTTTACGCTCTTTTAGAAACTATATGGAATCCAAGTAACAGTAACAACTGGAAAGATTAGATAGGAACCTTAGGGGGCAGTGACTTTACGCTAACGGGGAGGAACAACTCAGAAAAGTAGGGTCAGAATGGTTGCACAACTCTAAGAATGTATTCAGTGTCACTGAATTGTATATGTAGAAATTGGTGTATGCTGTGTATATTCTCAAAAACAAAATAAACAAAAATTAAAAAAAAAACTATTAGCGTGGAAACAACTCAAGTGTTCATCAACAGATGGATAAACAAAATGTGGTATATACCTAACAATGAAATATTATTGAGTCATTAAAAAATGAAGTTCTGGTACATGCTACACCATGGGTGAATCCTGAAAACATGTTGAGTGAAACAAGCCAGACACAAAAGCACAAATACTGTATGATCCTCCTTATATCTAAAATAGGCAAATGCATAGAGATCAAAGCTTATTAATGGTTACCAGGGGCTGGGGTAGGGAAAAATGCGGACTTATTGCTTAAGGGACACTGTGTTTCTGTTAAGGTGATGTGAAAATTTGCAAATGGATAGAGGTGATGGTTGTACAACATGGTGAATATAATGTCACTGAATTGTACACTTAAAAATGGTTAAAATGGCAAATGTTTTATTACATATATTTTATCACAATAAAAATAAATCCATTAGCACATTAGCCCTTTTGCTGCAGGGAAACTAGTAAAAGGGACTAGAACTACAATGTATTGAGTGATTACTCTTAACTGCATGCTGTTTGTGTGTCGTTAGCTCATCAAACTTCCCAAAATTCTGAGGCTGTTCTATAGGAGGGGAAACGGGCTCAGAGAAATTACCTGAGGCCACAAGGCTACAAAATGACAGCGGCATGATTCCAATCCAAATATGCCTCACCCCCAAACCTACACCTCTGCACTCCAGCACCCCACAACCTATCTATCTCAGCATCAGTGTAGCCCATGTCACATCTGCCCTGAGGCTTAAATGAGCCAAGAAGAGTGAAAGAATTTGGAGACCAGGAAGGCCCTTGCAGCTGTTACATGGTGTAGGAATTACTAGGCAGCTCAACATCACAGGGTTTTGTTATTTCCTGATCTCTCAGGTATGAAAACATGACAAGCAAGGCTATTTTCTGAAGTATTTCCGCTGAATGAAACCTAGGAAGTACTGGAGATCTTGAAGTGACATTTGATCTTGTAAGCCATTTTCCAACTCCAGCCCCTACTTCCTCTTTGAGGACAATTTCATTCTCACTAGTTATGGCAGAAGGGCTAGGAGGTGCTGTCACTTGAAGCACAGCAGGCCCGTCTACTGAAATTCTCCAAGGTGTACTTGTAACCATCCAGTGGCTAAAGCCATTCAATTTAGCATGCTGATCTTCTAAACAGATCGTATGAACAAGCAGATCTGCCTCTCCAGGTGGCTCCTTCCAGAGGCAGGTGACTGACTCCATGACACACACGGCACTATCCGATGACCTTGCGCAGGAACCCGTGGTCTGTGAGTAGAGCTTGGATAAAGGAATATGACGCAGAATCGATCGAACCTTCCTGGTTATGGCTACAGCTTGCACAATATAGCTCTGATATGGCCCTAGTAGAAACCATTATAACCATCACGAAGTGCCCAGTGCTAAGACAGCACCGAAGAAGCAGTCTAAATCCTGCCCTTCAGAACTGTTCACTGTTGTGGAGACAAAACCAAAAAACCACCACGTTTAAGTACTGCTATGGCATGATTAGCCAAAGCTGTAAAACAGTCCTGTCGAGCCAGTCTGTTCACCTCCTAACCCTACCTCACAGTTTCCCTCCTCACGGCCTGTTTGAGGGTCTGCAATCATTTGCTGCAGTCCTCCTTATTATCCCAGCTACTCCACACCCTACAGTGCATTCAAGTTAGTGAATCCAAATGTAATTGTTTTCTGGGGACTCCCTTGTAAGAACCGCCAGTGGCTCCCCACCACTGACAGAACCTATAGACAGAACTGAATCAGGTCTTCTTCCTTCTCCATCGACTTTATCTGCTGCCCCTTACCTTTGTCTCTGAGAGTTTCATCTCCCACATACACTGTCTCGTCTCAAACCTCTGTAGGTTGTCTTCCCTCTCCCCTAAACCTTACATCTTTTGACACTGCGCTCAGGTGTCATAACCTCTGGTGACTTTTTAAAAGCAGCACCTGCTCTGTGCACACCAGCCTCAGTTCTCACGATGTGCACAACTGACAAGCATGGGAAGGAATGTGAACTTGGCCATTTACTGTGTTAACTTCGGCAAAATATTTACCCAGCCTGTGCCTCAGTGTTCTTGCCTATGAAAAGACAGTAGTCAGACCAACCTGATGGGATTGCTGTGAAGACTGTTACTTAGAACAGTTCCTAGCATAGAAAAAGTATGCAACATAGGCTATTAAACCCACTAACCACATTGATACTCTCCATCTGTGTGTCTCATCTGCTGCCATCTCAGTCAGATCTTTGAGGTCAGGGACGATGACCTGTGAAGCCCCAGGGCTGGTGCAGAGTAGGTGCTTACTAATGTGTTTGAAGTGAACTACAGAGGCCTTTCTGGAGGTAAGCTTTGTAAAGCTGGGCCTGGCGGGTGATGGCGGGGGGAGCAGTCCAGACAAAGGACCATGACACGAGAATGAGGAAGAAAGCTGTGCAGGAGGCTGGAGGAAGCAGCCTAGATGGAGTGGATGATCACAAGGAGGGAAGGAAAGGCTAATGAGAAAGGAGGGAACTCTGAAGATGATGGCATTTGAAATTGTTCTCTCCAAGGGTTGCATGAAGAAGGCAGCAACTAAAAAACTCTGGATGCAACAGAACTGGGTGGAAGATGGGCTAGAAAAATACAGCAATTAACCAAAAGGTTGGTGGTTCGAACCCACCAGTTGCTCCATGGGAGAAAGATGTGGCAATCTGTTCCTGTAAAGATTAACAGCCTGGAAATCCTATGGGGCAGTTGTGCTCTGTCCTATAGGGTTGCTGTGAGTCACAATCAACTCAATGGTAACGGTTTTAGATCTGCTAGCAGGAGTCTCCGGGTGGCGCAAAAGGTTAAGTGCTCAGCTACTAACTGAAAGGCTGGAGGTTAGAATCCACCCAGAGGTGCCTTGGAAGAAAGGCCTGGTGATCTACATCTGAAAAATCAGCCACTGAAAACCCTACGGAGCACAGTTCTACTCTGGCACACACAGTATTGCCATGAGTCAGAGTCGACTAGATAGCTACCTCAAACCCTTCTCCCTCAACAAGAAAAAGCAATTTTATGATCACAAAGAGACCACATTTTTTATTGACAACTGAATTTCTACATAATATAGTACTGCACAAATTATAAGTGGATCAACAATTATGTTAACGATACAAACTCATGAGCACCGACATAAGCTCTAGGTTTGATGCGTTCGTGCCAGGTACTTATAGTGAACAATGGCAAACATAAAGGTTAACAGCACTACTTCAGTTCAGGAGAATCAGCTTTCAAAAAAAGCATATATGCCAACTCACAGAATATTTTTCTATGTCAAACCTGGGAAAATCAATAACTAAATGACAAAATGAACACTATTAAAGAAAAGTTGGTGATAAAAATGCTAGGATAAAATATTAGGTTTAAAATTTTGCAACTGGATTTAAGATGCAGGAAGTGTAAGCACATCGGGAATTTTCAGAAAAGACCCCATGTTCTGCTTCACAATAACCTATACATTCCAAAACACTAACTCTGGGTTGCTAGGTCTTACCTGCTAGTGTAAACCACTGCTTCATAGTTCTAAAAAACAAGACAATAATTCACATAAATGAGTTTTACAATAAGATTCTTCCAATTCACAATAAAAATAAAATTCACATGATCTATATCAAACTACTAAGAAATTTTATCCAAATGAGGACCAGCAGAGAAGCCAGGCTACCCACTTAACTTCTCTGACTGCCTGAGAGAGTAGAGCACGGACCACCTACAAGGAAAGGGAGATCAGGAGAGAGTCTGGCTCTGCCCCTAACTTGCAGTGTGAGGGTGGACAAGTCTTAGCTTCCCTGAGGTTTGGCTTCCTCAGCTAGAGAACTGAGGGATGGGCTAGATGGCTCTGAGATCCTTTCAATTAAAAAAATTGAAGTCAGCTCAAAATCCATCTCTGAGCAGACATTTAGGGTGGAAACAAGAATGGATTAAAAAACAGGTGGATGGAGTAATTTTTACCTTTAGATACTATCATTCAGAACTCTTCTGTGCGACAGTTCTAAGAAACCTTAAGGGTCATTAACTTGGTCAGGGAATGCCTAGGGAGTGGTGCAGTTCAAGCATTCAGTGAAGATCTAATGAGCACACATCCAGGAAGAAGACGCTTCCTGAAACCCTACCAGAAAGGCAACTTTGATGAGACTGATTCTAACAGAAAGGATACAAGTGAGGTAAGTGCCAGGTAGGATTCTTTTTGTCTTTACAGAACAGAAAAATGATCCAAAGAGAACAATGGCTCCTCGTTCTCTGTTCCCTAAGAAGGATACAAGCATCACTTCTTGAATTCAACACATTGGCTTCGTTTTCAAATGCATTACTTTTATTTTCCTCAAAAGGCAGCCATGCATTGTGAATCTAGGATCGTAACAGTCACATGATTTCCTTAGTAAGCCCAAGGTTCCCATGAGCATCTCTGTAGCTCACAGCCAGAGGAGTCGTCCTGAGGTTTCAGATATTAAAGCTTTCTCCACAGCCACATGTTCCTTTGATGTTTGGGTTATTGAACACAAACTCACTGGATAATTTGTCTTCTACATAGTCCATTTCTGTTCCTAAAAGTGTTAGCTGTGCTTTCTTTTCGATGAACACTCTGACCCCTTGGGGAAAAGAAAACATGTGTCAGACAAAGCCTGTGTGCCTTATGGAGCTAACCTGCCAAGTCAAAGCGCACGTGAACCTGGAGACTGAACAACTAACTGCTGCTTCAAACAAGTCAGACAGGAAGCTTCCGAGTGCGTTTCATTATTTCCTTTTAGGAATTAAGTGCTCAACTTCCTGCCTGCCCCATTTCCCATGTGAATCTGTGTCGAGAACAATTACATTAGGGTACAGTTTTACAAAAGTCAATTCCACGCACAAAGCTAGAATTTTCCTTTTACTATATTTCACCCATTGTTCCAATCTGCAACATTAAGAAAATGTGCATTTGTCAGTGACAATTTCGCAAAGACAGAAACAACAGAATTTATGAAAACCTTGCAAAAGCTTCTATACACATGGCAAACTGCCAAGCCTAGGGACATGCAAAAGGACTGTGACATAATGAGGCCGTTTTAATAAGACTAGTCTCAGTATAGTGGCAACGGTTCTTCTGGCCAGAAAACTGGTCATCATACCACATCTCTGTAAACACAACAGGTTTGACTATAAAAGCAGCCAAGATGAAACAGCTAAAGGAAGTTTTCTAAGAAGAAAGTTAGTCATTACTTAAATATAAACCATCATAATTCTTAAATCCCCTCTTCTTTAATTTTAGGATAAAAATCTTAAAATAGCTTGAGTTGATTTTAAAAGTCATGTCCTGAAAAATGACTTTATGGATTGGAAACTTCAGTTTACTAAAATGAAAGGATGCCTGGCAACCCATGCCTGACACAGAGGCAAGTACCACGAGCTAGCTGACATCCGACCTCACCTCCAATGCACAAAACCATCCCTGCCGAGCCCACAAAAGCAAGTTCCCAGACAGTGCAGCATTACTTATTTTGTTTTAAATGGGTTTTATCAGATTATTGAGAGGGAGGTGGTGTGGCTAATAAAGTAATTAAAGCTCTGAAATTTTTAATAAGAACTGGAAATACAGAATTCCTTAAGAGCATGAGTTGACATTACTTTTTTGACATAGATGCAAAACTGCTGCTTCAAAGAAAAATGACTGGCTGGTTCACTTTGAAGTTTTAGCATCTTAAAGATCTTCTGGGAAAAAAGATAAACAGATGACCTTCTGAAATGGAAACAAGCTTATCCAATAATCCATCACTTAGTTATACGAGCACAGTCTCTGGAGTTAATTTGATTGGGTTCAAATTTTTACCAGGTCACTTACTAGCTGTGTGACCTTAGGCAAAAAGTACTTCCTCTCTGTGCCTCAGTGTCTTCATCTGCAAAATGGGGGTGATGCAGTACAACTTCATTCAATTGTGGTGCATAAATCCAACCGCCTGGCACACAGTGAGCACTCTGTCTTTCCTACTATTATTTTTGCCATTTACTTCATGCTATGCAAAACAAAGTCCCAGAAAAAGTGTGTTAAATACTCACCATCTTGAACAACTTCTTCATCAGAATCTCCTTTTGTCTTTGTATATTCTAAAGTATAAGAAAGGCCATTGCAACCCCTGGTTCGAACACCAACTTTCACACCTACCTGAAAGAGAATTGCAAATGTGCACTTAATTTTAAAGTATTACAGATTAAACAATTTACATTACATTATTAAAAATATATACTTAATATTATTTTCTCATAAGCTTTTTTAAAAGTACAATAAACGTTACATTTCTAATTATAAAATGTTTCAGTAGGAAATATAAATAGAATGGGGAATAAGCATTTAAAAAAAATTAACTATTGTTCAAACATCATTATCACACTAATGGGGACCCGAAAACAATACAAAGACAATTAATATACAAATAAACGAGAGAGAGAGAGAGAGAGAGAAACCCCTATAATTACCACTACCCTAACAAAACAGCATGTATGCTTTTTCATGTTGTCTTCCAGTCCTTGCTATATCTATATATAAAATTCAAACATAGTTTTTATTTACAGCAGAAATAACATTATTCTCTACTTGGTTTGGGAATTCTTATGACCTGTTGCATTCAGAGCAGTCTCTTCTGTCCTTATACAACGAGGAGAAAGAACTCCCTTTCAGAGTGACTGCTTGGAGAATACTCAGCATGATAAATACTAAGTTGTCTAGTCGAAATTTTGGAGCACACTTCTTAAGATATTTGTTCAACTTAGTTTTCACCTTTGTAAACAGGAAGACTGAAGCAAGCAGGAAGTCTAATTAGAAATGGATATGGACATTTAAATTTAACTTGAAATAAGGTTTAGAGGCGGCTCCCAAGTGAGGAGGAGCACGGAGTGACTCAATCAACACATGGAAACACAACTTTAGGTGACGGGAGCCAACACTTCCTGAGGTGTAATCTACGGCACAAGCAATCCCTTTTCCAAACAAACACACCTCAAAATCTAAGACACTGAATTCTAACTTCATTGGGTCAATGTGTACTCTAATCATGAGTCTACCCAAATTGAGTTGGAATACTGAAATCCTTTCATAGGAGGGAGGTGCTTGAACTCCCACTACATCATACTGGAGGCTGTATAAAAGAACTCAGAAACCGCTTAGCAGTCTAATTATTAATAGTCTAATTATTACTTGAAGCGATTAATACGTACTCCACAGGCAATTAACAATGCACTAAAATTTAGGTCATGCTCACACCCCTTAAGCAACAACTGCACATCTGGGAGCATGTCCTACATAGATACACTACAGCATGCTCACGGGTCCAGAACAATGTGCCTGGCACACTGCAACCACTAACAAATGACATTCGTGGCAGCACTGAATGGAATCTCAAAGAACCTTTAAAATGGGAGATTGGTTAAATAAATCAAACCTGCTCAATGGAATATACTATATATGCAGCCACAAGAATGAATGAGCTACCTTTCTGTAATGACATGGAAAGATCTTCAAGACATATTGCTAGTGGTAAAAAGCAAAGTGTAATGATAATAAGCACAGCATGTATGCCATGCTCTCAACCAAGCAGGAGAAGAAGAGAGATACACACAAGCATTGGGTATTTTTGGTTGTCACACCTGGGGGAGGGGGTGCTACTGGTATCTAGAAGCAGCGATGCTGATAAACACCACCTCCAACAAAGAATTTCAGGCTCCAAATGTTGCTAGTGCTGAGGCTGAGAAGCCCTGGTATGAGCATGTAAAATGTACAGATTCTCTCTGGAAGGACCCTGCGAGGTTGCCACTTGTATGGAAGAATGACGATCCAGAGTCCAAAGTTTCACTGAACACCCTTTTATATTATTTGAAAAAGAAAATCATGAGCATACATTACTTTTTGAAGTAAAATCCCTTAATTAATGAAAGCATACAATTTATCACAAGGTAAATTCGTTCTGAAAATATGACTTTAGTTTTTTACAAAATATTTGTCTGAATATTATTTTACTTACATGTTCAGGCTTATCTTTAAGAAGTTGTTTTATTTTGTGGACTGCTGAAGGTGTCTGAAAAAAGAACACGTTATTAAATTTTTGGCTACAAAAATCACATTCTTCCAAGCCTTCTATTTCCTAGTCTGGAAGGCTGTTCAAGCCCAGCTTTAACAAATTTATGCGATTAATTTATGTTCCATTCTTGCCAGAGTACCTTGCAGACTTGATACACAAACACAAGAACTCCATTCAACTCAAGTCACCTTCTTTATTTTCAAAACATCTGATAGCAACTTCCTTTTAACCTCACTCTCCCAGGGCCAGGTTCCCCTCTGCCATTATCTCTCTGGTACTATCTACTTCCATCACAAGGGTAATTTTTTCCGGCCACATCTATTTTGTTCACCTACTACACGCCCAGCAACAAGTACCCTGCCTGACACACAGAAGGCATGCACACAGTCAATCAATGAATACAGTACCTTCGCACTGGGAAAGCCAACAGTCAGGTTTTTCCCTGTTGATTATTATCTGGATTACATGTTTAAAAATATCTAGACAAAAATAACTAAGCTAGTCAACAACAGAAATAGGTTTCAGGGTTTACCAGCCCTACTTTCCTGGGAAGAAAGCTGTTAAGACCAGGCTTTGTCTGCATTCCTGGTCCACTTCCTAGCTGTGTCCCAACGGCAGTCCCGTTACTCGATTTACTCCAGTCCCTTATGTGTAAAAGATCAACAATAGTTCCTCCTTAGGATTCTTGGGAGGGTAAAATAAGCTAATTTACAAGAAGCATTCAGAACAGTACCAGGCATAAAGAGCTCAGTATACGCCAGATATTATTACAGTGATGAACAGAGCACAACAGAGAGATTGTGTCCTTTCTTCTTTCTGCTTTTATTAACTCCTTCAGCTGGCAATGCTATGCTGATCCTCCAGCTGTCTGTAGTGACATTCTACAGGTCCGTGAAATCCCACAGTCTGGAGATCATGAACCATTACTTGGAGGTAGCTGTAGCCAGAATTCAAGCCTGTGCTGAGGGAGCAGACCCAAGGGATGGCCTAGAGTGTGTGCCCCAGCCCTGCTGGGGGAGGTGGGGGGACTCCATCAGATGATGTTTAAACAGAGCCTGGACCCCGTTTACAAGTATCAGGAAACCCAATTTAGGACGTTGAGACCTGCATTTTTGTAAAAACAGGAGGTAAAAGAATAAAAGAATGCACTGTACTTAAAAAAGGTGAGCTCTGTTTAGTCAAACACTTAATTATTAATATATGGTGAGTGTGTATATATTTACTTCTTATTGTGTGTCACTGTGAAAAAAAATTAAAAAAAAAAATCACTACCAGATAAGTGTCTCTAAAGGCCTTTTCCCACAATTTTTTCAAAACAAGACACAAGGAAAATATCAGCCCAAAGGACTAATGGACCACATGAACCACAGCCTCCATCAGCCTGAGACAGAAGAACCAGATGGTGCCTGGCTACCATCACCAAAAGCTCTGACAGGGATCACAACAGAAGGTCCCAAACAGAGCCAGAGAAAAATGTAGAACAGAATTTAAATTCACAAAAAAAGACCAGACTTACTGGTCTGACAGAGACTGAAGGAACCCTGGGGATTCTGGCCCCCAGACACCCTCCTAACTCAGAACTGAAGCTACTCCTGAAGTCTACCTTTCAACCAAAGATTAGACAGGCCTATAAAACAAACAATAACACATGTGAGGAACGTGCTTCTCAGTTCAATCAAATATACAAGACCAAATGGACAACACCTGCCCAAAAACAAAGACGAGAAGGCAGGAAGGGACAGGAAAACTGGATGAATGGACACAGGGTACCCGAGGTGGAAAGAGAAAGGGGGAGAATCCTGACACATTTGGGGGATTGCAACCAATGTCACAAAACAATTTGTGTATAAATTTTTCAATGAGAAGTTAATTTGCATTATAAACTTTCACCTAAAGCACAATAAAACAAAAAACCAGGAGTCAAGCAGCCTGACAACACAAGGAAGAAATGATGAAGAGCAGCATTATGACTCCATCTTTTTTTGAAATGACAGATATCAACAGCAAATAATTACTGAAATATAAAAAAATTGTTTTAAATTGCTCATTTACCCTTCTAAATGATCACAGTAAAGTTTTTACTGAACTTAAGGTCAGCAGTTCGAATCCACCACGCACTCCTTGGAAGCCCTACGGGGTAGTTCTCACTCTGTCCTATAGGGTCGCTATGAGTTGGAATCGACTCGACGGCAACAGGTTTGGTTTTCGTTTAGTTTAGTTATCTTATCATCCATTTGTAAATTTTCCCAGTCACAATTTCTACGTGAGTGCTGAAGTGATTAATTTAACGGCTGTCAAAAAAGATTTCTGGTAAGTTAAAAATAGGCATAACGAGACTTCCGGCAAAATGGCACTCTAGGCAGAAGCACCACGCCGTCCCTCCACAGCAAAGATCCGAAAAACTAAGCCAAACAGAGAAAACAGCAATCCTGAAACCCTAAAACATCAAATGAAAAGATAAAGAACTCAGCCAAGCACCAAATGGAGTGAGAAAACTGACAGAACAGAGAGCGAGGAGAGGTTCATGCAGAGGTCCCCTATCAGCTAACGCAGCACGGATCCGCCATCTTGGACTCCTATCAGAGACCAGCAAATAGGGGGTATGAGAAAGCAGCTTCACGGAGCTTCCACAGGACACAGAACAACTGGTAATTTGCGATATACGCTTTCCCACCCCCCGCTCTTCTTCACCCCCACTCAGCCTCCTCTGCTTCCCGCGGCCACAGTCTCTTGTCCGGGAAGCACCGGCTGCTTGGATTCCACCTGCCCGCACTGGCTGGCTCTCTGACTGCCATTTGTTGTTGCTTTTTTTCTGCTTCGTATGATTTCTTCCTTACCTCTTGCCACCTCCATCTCCTTTCACTAAAATACCTGGCTCCGTGCACCATCTTTACTTCTTCCTGAGGGGCTCTGGAGCTCTGGTAATTTGCGATACATGCTTCCCCACTCCCCACCCTTCTTCAGCCCCACTTGGCCTCCTCTGCTTCCCGTGGCCACAGTGTCTTGTCCAGGAAGCACCAGCTGCTTGGATTCCACCCGCCTGCACTGACTGGCTCTCTGAATGCCATTTGTTGCTGCTTTTTTACTGCTTCTTTTGATTTCTTCCTTACCTCTCACCACCTCCTCCTCCTTTTGCTCAAATACCTGGCTCCACTCGCCATCATTGCTTCTTCCTGAGGGGCTGCGGAGCTCCGTCCAAGTGTGGAACTACTTCCCGGTCTGGGCTGCCACGCCGGTGGGATCCCGGGGCTTTTGTTTGTTTGTTTTCTTTTCCTTTTCTTGAGTTGGGAGCCCATTCTGGCTGGGCGGTGCTGCACTTCTTGGAATCTACCCCCTTGGCTTGCGCAGATGGGCAGAGAGATCCCTGAGGCATTTCTTTTTTTTTCCTGTTTTTTTGGGGGCTTTTCTTGTTTTTGTTTTTTAAATTTGTTTTGTTTTCTTTTCCCTCTTTTTCCTTTTTTGTCTTTTTTCATTACTCAGCTTCTCGTCTCTCTATACCTTCCTTCTCTTCCAGTTCTCTGAATATCTGGTGCTGAATACCTCTACACCTTCTAGCCAAGCTGTACTGCAACGCCTGAGAACAACTTCCCCAGACCTCATAGCTGCACCAGTGGGATCCCTAGGAGCTTTGCTGTTCTTTTTCCTTTCTGATTTTTATTTATTCATTCATTTTTTTTTCCTTCTTCTTCCCCTTTTTGTTTTTCTCCATTTCATAGTCTCTCATCTCTCCACTCCAACAGCCAGCTCCTCTAGGACTCTTTTTTGTTGGTATGTTTTTGGCTCCTGTTCCTCTCTCCTCTCTCCCATATCCATCTTAGCTCCACACATAACAATCTCCCCCCTACATCCTGCCTACCTGAACCATGTGCTTAACATGACACCACCAAGCATAACAGGCACGGTCTACTGGAACCTGCCCTGCACTGATTACCGACTGGCCATGGTGGCTGTAGTAAGTGCCACAAACAACCCATCCCAGTAACTCCTCTTCAGCTAGACCTGCCCTGCTGTACCATATCTGAGCAACTGACCCTGCCAATTCGAGAAGGAGGTGAAAAGTATCATGCCCAGAGATGAGCAAACAACAAAGAACACAGTCCGCCTGCTCAGAGCCAAATTAAAAGAAAAAGGACGAAACAAACAAATCTACAATCAATAAAGGAGAAAAATAACTACTGAATGCCCCGAGACAGCACACAATATTATCAAAACATTTACAAAAACAGGACAGGATGGTTCCATTAGACATCCAAAATAAACCACCAGATGACTTTCCAATGAAACAAAAGGCAGTAGAACTACCTGATAGGGAATTCAAATCTCTAATACTCAGAATTCTCCAGGAGTTGAAGGAAAAAGCAGACAAAAATGAGGAAAAAATACACAAATTCATGGAAAATACAGACAAAAAAACTGGAAGAATTCAGGAAAAAAATGCAGGAACAAAATGCCAAAATAAATTCATAACTAGAAATTATACAAAAACAATTAGAAATCCAGAAAATAAACAAGATTTCAGAAATGGACGGTGTCACAGAAGGGCTGAGGAGCAGATCTGAAACGGTGGAAGACAGGATCAGTGGAAT